CCTCGTTTTCAATTTGAACAGTGACTTGAATAACATAAGTCAATGGCTCAAACAAAACAAATTGCAACACCATTCATCCAAAACTAAATTAATGTACGTAGGATCTAAACATAATCTCCATAAGATAAATAATGACATTCCTGTAATGTTAAATGGTCAACCAATTGCTAGGGTAACCTCAATACCTTGTTTGGGCGCCACCCTTGATGAAACGTTGAGTTGGGATGAGCATATTGACGTAATTTGCAGAAAGGTTGCAGCAGGTATTGGAACGTTAAGGCGCATCAAGCCATTCGTTCCTGCAAACATGCTGCAATCAATCTATAGCGCTTTGATACAACCCTACTTCGATTATTGTTCTGCCCTTTGGGACACTTGTAACAAAACATTAAAAGACAAATTGCAGAAGTTTCAAAATCGAGCAGCTAGGATAATAGCTGGTGCTGGTTATGAGATCAGGTCTGCTGACGTTCTTCAATCTCTTGAATGGGACAATTTAGAATCTAGAAGAAAATTAACTAAGGCAACTTTTGTTTATAAAATTCTAAACGACCATAGTTCGCCGAACTTGAAAGAGTTTTTGATAAAAAGGAATATTTCGCAAACGACTTACGATCTCAGAAATGCTCAGAATGATCTGGCCGTTCCTAAGCCAAGACGCGACTTTCTGAAAAAGAGTTTTCGATATAGTGGTGCTAAACTATGGAATGATCTTCCTGGTGAAGCTAAGGAAGCCCTATCAATATGTTCTTTTAAAAATATTGTAAGGCACAGTAACTAACCTAATATTAATATAAATGGATTATTGCAGACATATTTATATGGCCAAATCACACCAAACCACCAACTTCCTTTTAAACCATTCTAATTAATTACTATATATATTGCATGTATTTGTACTTATATTTATCTTTTTTGTAAATAGTTTTTGTAAATTTTCAGATGTCGACGCCCCTTGTGGAAATCAACTCCCTTTGTTGCCAAGGCTAGCGTCTTTAAATAAATTTTTACATACATACATACATACATACATACACCATGCGCCCGCAATTATTGATGAACTTTAGACTTCGCTAATGCTTTCCTTTACCCGAACGGCGCTCCGTGCCGTTGGCTCGGGGATCATGCATGTTCAGCCTCATTCAGTTTGATTGCCCCCGAGTCAACGGTGTAAAGCGCCTTTCCGGGCGTTTCGGATAAATAAAGATCCCAATTGTTCAAAACTTATAAAAAAACGTTTGTACAGTGTGTTACTTCCCCAAATTACCAGATGTATTTGTACAATGACAAGGATATTTTAAGAATGAAGCCGCTTTTGGAATTTGAATATTGCTTTCACCTGACCATGCAAATCTCAGCAAAGTTGCTTTTCCACTTCTAAAATAAATTACTCAATATCCTAAATGCAATATACCAAAAAACTTAATAACCTCAATCGTTCAGTCCTTAGCAGTAAAATGTCAAACATCACTCTTGGTTTATTGACCTCGTTATCACTCAGTCAATACATGCAGCAAGACCTCCGTTTGATATTCTACCATAAAGATCCGTCACTGTTAGTATTTCACCATATTTATTAATTCTAATCTTTGTACAAAGAACTAGAGTTTCCTATAATATTCAAGCATTATCATTTCAGCATTCGTAAAATATACGCAATAAATATAAGCTGGAAGCAAGAAAGGATATTTGTTTTCTTTCTTACACAACGGATCTAATGCAGCACAACTTAAATGAGTATGTTTTATTTCCGTTTATTTCGTTAAATAAACATGCAGATAGAAATATTAGGGCAAAGTACAGATGTTGCAGTTGTAAAAACACTTCTCTTTCTATCATGTAAACAAATGTTGTGAGCCGCTGGCTTTCCTTTTGTCTTGTGTATAGCTTCGCCAAGCGTGCAGGGGCGGCGCTAGGGGTGTATGTGGGGGTAGAACACCTCCCCCCCCCCCACTCGCCAGGTAATCGGCAAATTATTGTTCCCAGTCGGCAAATTGTTTTCCCAGTCGGCAAAACATTAACACGCCACCCGCGCCAATAATTTTGGGAATAGAAATATTAAGTCGGAAATTTTTTCTTAATAAGCAGTAGTGGAAACGACTTGGCAAAATTTCACTTGCACCCCCCAATTCAAATAGGGACACTGTAGCACCGCCCCTACAAGCGTGTGGCATCATTCTTATTATTCTTAGATTTAGTTAACACCTGTAACGAATTTGTAATTTTTGCTAATTTAGCATATCAATCCTAGAGTCAGAACTTCCATGTTTTACTGAAAATATCATTGGAACATAAATTTCTATGTTATATTTATCTCGATTTATAAAGGAACGTCTCGAATTGTACCTGACACCAAGCTTCTTCGTGATTTCGTCCTTATACTTAAATGCGCCACCTCCTATAAATAACAAACAATTATTAGATGTGGATGAGCATGATATTATACAACTATTGAACCAGCCTAGACCTAGGCCTTCTATTTTTATTTATATATTTTTAATATTCAGCGCTTTTTCACATGAAAAGACTGGGACTAGGTGATTTGGGGGCGGGGCGGAGGAAGGACACAAGCCTGACTTCCTCCGCCCCGCCCCCAAAGCGACTATACTCTATAGACCCTTCGACTTCGTTCATATAGTTGCATCGTCTAGAGTTCGCAGTTTTTTTTAATTACTATCTTTTGAACATTCTAGTCCTAGTCTTTTCATGTGAAAAAGCGCTGAGTATTAAAAAAATATAAATAAGACTAGAAGGCCTAGGTCTAGGCTGCTATTGAACGAGGTTGAGCAAAATATCGTGATTTGTCAGTGGCGAGAAGATCAATTATTTGCCTCTGCCTCGGCATCGGCAAATAATTGATCTGCGAGCCACTGACAAATCGCAATATTTTGCGATAACCGCTTTCTGAAAAAAGGTATCAATTTCCCGCACGTAATATAAAATGACTGAAAAACGGCAAACTTCGCATGGCTATGTTATCTGCATTTTACAACATTTCGCACCGAAACTTCGGAATATTACTAATTTTGTGATGCTCTTTCAAGCTTTTGTCTAGACTTGTCTAGATCAAAATTTTGTTCATTAGGTAATAGGTCCATTAATGCCTTACGATAGGTATGGGACTGCATTTTATCGTTCATTGTAGTATAAAATGTAAGGTTGGAACAACATAAAAAAGGTAACTTTATTATTACAAATATCATCAAGCAAAATGCCTTTTGGCACAATTGAATTGATTGCATGCAGTAGAAAGTTCATGACAACACTAGTAAAATATTTTTTAAATATAATAACCTGTCACTTTCAATGCCCTGTTCTTGTCTGTGGATCCAGGTTCACTTGACAAGTTTTGTTGAATAAAATCAAGACATGTCTCAATAAACTTTGTTTCAAATTTCACAAAATGTAATCTCTCTCCAGAGTCTTCTTCTTCCTTGACTTCGTACAATGGAAATGACGATGCACGTAACTAAACAATTAAATTCAATATTAAGACTATAAAGTCATGGATTAATAGGTCTACAGTATATATACACGCAATTAGAACTGTAGTCATGGACCTTAGGATTATAGGCATGACCACTAGGGCCAACCTCGTTCCTAAGCTCTTACCTCTTGTGGAGGAAATGATCCGCTAAAATCTAGCAGATTTTTAATTGATGATGATGATGATGATGTTGATAAATATTTGATATTTACACTTTAATTTATAACTTGCATTTTGTTTTGTTTTGCAAGTTTGATTTTATCTTATTTTAAAGGAATCCAAGATAGTTTTTTACTCGCTGGGGTACCCTGTGCCCAGGCGAGTATAGGTTTCGGCTCGCATTTTTCTCCATTTTTCTTCGATAGCCACAAAATAGATTAATGAGCTGCCAATTTTTACCCAAATTATGCATTAGGCTCCTGCCAATTTTTACCCAAATTATCCATAAATAACTCTGAGTTTTGAGAAAATTCAAGAATTTTACCAAAAAAGCCAAAGCTGCTGTTTATTTTAACCAGTATGAATATGTTTACGTTCTTTTGGAACTGTTTTTTTACTGCATTGAGGATTCGGCGACAAGAATAATGAATTTGGAGATGTATTAATGCCAAATAAATCCTGTTAAGCGGTCAAAATGACATCTTATAGCCCGACAAAGACAGAAATACAAAGTCAAAGACAGCGATGTACAGGAACATTTGTATGAAATATAAACTCGTATAAGACAGTTACTAGTAGTGCTAACTATGCTTTTATAAGAACAGAGTAAAGACCAGACACAGTACTAAATGCGGTGTTTTACGAATAAAACTTTCCGGCGATTCGATCCGCCTACAAGCAGTGCTACAAGTAAAGGTTAATATATTTTATAGTACGCTACATCCGTACGCTTGGTTAATATGGTTAAAACCTCGCTTTAAAACCTTCAAGATAAATTATTGTCGGATCAAAATACTATCAAAATGAAGAGAAAAGTGAGATGAATCCATTGGTATACGAAAAGCGGTGGGGGCAGAATCTTGAGAAGGGCACTCGAGCGCCGAAGGCGCGAGACCTCGTAAGGTGTCCAGTGGCATCCTCCCCGGGAAATTTTATATTTAGGAAATTTTATATTAAAATAAAAAACAGGGAAATTTTATATTAAAATAAAAAACAGTGAAAATTTTAAGTATATGGGTGGAATATTTTGGTAGCTGATGAAGTCTCACAGTTTGCAGCCAAATATTTCTATACATTGTACAATAGCTCAGGTTTTTAATAGATTTTTAATTGATTATGAATAAATTGAGTAGATTATAACATGTAGGTCACGAACATTGTGCAAGGCAAAACAGAAAGAGCGCAAAATATTGTTACAATAGCAAGCTAACGCAAATGAAGTTCATGCAAATATACTCGCACAATAATGTAGAGTAAACTAAATTGATATATAATAAGATAAAGGAAAAATAAGTCGATAATAACTAATTGTAACACTGTACTATAAAGAAACCGAAAACTCTAATCTGTAATCCTTGCTTCTTTGCTTGCGTATGCCGATGTATATCCCAACGAAAAAAACTGAGTCAACTAACTATCACGGTTCAGTGCTTCTTATTTATAGTAGAAGCAAGGAAGTTAATCAAACTAAACTGAAACTGAACTTCATGAGGTTGCGTATCTTGGGTGGAAAATCACAAGAAGCTGGAAACGTGGACTTAGCCAGAGGCCCGTCCACCCGTCTTTTGGACAGGTCCACCGTCTTTGGACGGGTACTTGTGAACCTGGTAGTTGATGTTAAAACTCTAGATTTTGTCTGTAGTAATTAGTACAACCGTATCAAGCTTAAATTTTGCTATAACATCACAGTAAACAGTCACTGCACATCCTTGCACATACATCCACAAGCAAACAAGCTACAGTTTCCTTTGTATTTGAAATATATATAAGTATTTTAGGCTGATTTTAAGAATAACTTCGGCGGTATTTTAGTGAGGTAACCAAGCTGTGTGCTCTTCAGTTTTGAGTGTAGTTTTACACGTGTTCTTTTGACTGCTAAGATTTACGCTTTTAGACGATAAAAATTAAAGATCTGATTTCAAAATTATTCCAAGAGAAACATTTTTTTTTTTGGGGGGGGGGGGGCAGACGGCAGACCTGGTCGAACATTTGTGGACGGATATATTGCTAGTCCTGGCTATGTCCCTGCCTGGAATGCTCTAAAACCATCTAGAACAAGGTAAGACTTTATATCGCGAATGCGTTATTGTAGTGCCAGTCTGCCAGAGCATGACTGCGCTAATCGACTACAGACATTTAGGTGTGTCAAGAAACTAGAAAAATGTAGAAGGTTTATATAACTAACAAGACGATCAACGTAGCCTGCGTAATGCGTAAATGAACCATGAAATGAACGTGGTCATAATATATACTTATACATATGACGGTAAGTCAACGATAACTTATTAGTTATATTGCCTTAATCCTTTTGTTGTCACAAAAAGGGGCAACCAGTTGCCCCCGCACTGTTAGGGCAGCGGGGGCCACTGCCCCTGCTGCCCCCGCGGCTCCGGCGCCCCTGAATGATACGAAAGTTATCAAGGATCAAACATACTGCATTTTTAATTAGTTAAATAATCTGTCAACAATTTCGCTTGACTTTCAAATTAATGAATTTGGCATCCGTAAGTACAATTTCTTACGCTGATTCGAACGATTGTATTTTTTAGTCTAGGACCTGTATAGATGTTTGTATGCGTTTCATTTAGCACAGGTAATATCAACTGTTTTAGGGTAAAATGACCATGGCGGTCAACATGGCATATGTGCCAAAACCTGAATCCGGGGCGAAAGTCCTGAAAATGACCCCGCCCTGAAACGGCAGTATCGACATAGCTCTAACTTCCGAAAACGCAAAACGACAGCCTTTCTGAAGTGCTTATAGTGTTTAGAAGGGTTGCTTTTAGGGGTGGATAATGGAAGGAAAAATTTGTCTAAGTATAATATTTTACAAGAAAATGACCACACACCACCCCAGGTAAATTGCTAATTATGCTTGAAATGACTAATATGCTTGGCAGAAATTAAATGTTCTTTTTCCTAAAAAAAATATCATGGGATGAAAAACTATGCTTAATTCAATATAATTATTGTAGTTCTCATAAGGATTGTCAGTTGTTTTCTTTAAATATAATACATTTTATTTCACTCACCCCCCACGATTTCAGCCATATTTTGCTGTCTTGTTTGCTTTTTATCGCCGAGTCACCCAAATATCATCCAGTTGTTGTACTTTTACATAATGATAAATGGCTAAAGAAGATTTCAGCCAAGTTTCATGAAGTTTTGAAACAGTGCAGTGTATTTTATCTTCGATATTGTGTCCTTCGATATTTCGTCAAATTGCCGCCATTTTAATGGCTCGCCGCTTCTCTGCCCGATAAATGCCACTTCTTCGTTTTCATATGTATTTAGATTACAGTATCCAAGAGTACTTCATTGTAGAATAGTCCCAATCGAAAAATTGACAACATTAGTTGCACTTGGAAGGAAAAAACCTCCCGTATACCATTTAGGTTCAAAATAAAAACAAATAATTTGAAAGTCACGCGCAATCTTCGCGAAAATAATTCGTGGACACGTGACAGGGGGGCGTGAATATTTTCACGAAACGTTTGTCCGCTACCACAGAAACCTAACTAAATATATTGTATTTATTGTATTTTTATGACTTATGATAAAAACAATTAATTATTTATCATAAAATACAATAAATACAATACATTTAGTTAAGTTGCTGTGGTGGCGAACAAACGTTTCGCGAAAATATTCACCCCTCCCACCCCCCCAGTCATATGTCCACGAGAAGTTTTCGCGAAAATTGCGCGTGACTTTCAAATTATTTGTTTTTTATTTTGAACCTAAATGGTATACGGGAGGTTTTTCCCTTCCAAATGCAACTAATGTTGTCAATTTTTCGATTGGGACTATTCTACAATGAAGTACTCTTGGATACTGTAATCTAAATACATATGAAAACGAAGACGTGGCATTTATCGGGCAGAGAAGCGGCGAGCCATTAAAATGGCGGCAATTTGACGAAATATCGAAGGACACAATATCGAAGATAAAATACACTGCACTGTTTCAAAACTTCATGAAACTTGGCTGAAATCTTCTTTAGCCATTTATCATTATGTAAAAGTACAATAACTGGATGATATCTGGGTGACTCGGCGATAAAAAGCAAACAAGACGGCAACATATGGCTGAAATCGTGTTTTCGTGGGGGGTGAGTGAAATAAAATGTATTATATTTAAAGAAAACAATGACAATCCTTATGAAATCCACAATAATTATATTGAATTAAGCATAGTTTTTCATCCCATGATAATAATTTTTTTTAGGAAATAAGAACATTTAATTTCTGCCAGGCATATTAGTTATTTTATGCATAATTAGCAATTTACCTGGGGTGGTGTGTGGTCATTTTCTTGTAAAATATTATACTTAAACAAATTTTTCCTTCCATTAACCACCCCTAAAAGCAACCCTTCTGAACACTATAAGCACTTCAGAAAGGCTGTTGCTTTTTGTTTTCGGAAGTTGGAGCTATGTCGGCACGGCCGTTTCAGGGCGGGGTCATTTTCAGGACTTTCGCCCCGGATTCAGGTTTTGGTACATATGCCATGTTGACCGCCATGGTCATTTTACCCTAAAACAGTTGAGATTACCTGTGGTAAATGAAACGCATACAAACATCTATACAGGTCCCAGACTATTTGTCCCTGTTGGGTCACTTGGGTGCATAAAACCAGAGATAGTTGGCCCTGAGAGTCCGAGATTAATTAATTTTCCCGCAAAAAGGAAATTCAGAGAACGTCCAAGGAATTTTTATAGGCAGTTAACTTAATATTAAAGGTCATTAGTTCGGAACAAACTTCTCCCCAAAAAACCGTCTGCTATGGTAGCGGTACCAAACTTGGTACGGACACCGCAATGTTGCAACAGAGGGCAGGTCACAATTAACTCTTCAATTGGCCATATGATTGTAGTACCATCTAACAAGCGTATCACTATAGCCCCAGCATTAACGCTTTAACGCATTTGTTTTGTTTTGCAAGTTTGATTTGTAATGGACTATTTCGGCATGCATGGAATACTTTCCATGCAGGCTGGCAATACCGTAAAACTCCGAATATATAAGACATAAGTACCTCAAATATAAGTCCCATGTTTTAGCCCACCATATTGACCAACGCTCACGCCATTTCGAATATAACACACAACCCCCCCCCCCCCTATAAGCCCATCCGTGTATAAGCCCATGGGCTTATTATTGGACAGGTATTTATTAACGCAGCGACGGGGATTCCGAGTAGCGATAATTACATTACACTGCATTACACTACTATAGTCAACCAACTTGTTTTATTATGTGTTGCATACTCTATATTCATTTATATTTTTTTCGTTCACGGTATAGTTTACAGGTACAATAAATATTATTACTAACATCAAATGTCGTCCGTATATATAAGCCCCACGCATATAAACCCCGCATGTATAGTCTTATAAAATTTTTTTACGAACCAATATAAGCACAGGGCCTATACTCGGAGGTTTATAGAAAAGAAGAAAAAATTTCCATTTTCGACCATTGCTGTTAATTTCAGGGAGTTTTAAGGTGGCTCGATACAGTTTTCAAAACTTTAGGTATATAGTTTGACAGTTTTAAACATCGATAGTGCGTTACTATGGCAACACACGCTTACGAAATTCATTCCAAAATAGCATATTGCTCTGTGTAGTTGGAAAAGAAGCACCGTGACCCCATTTTTTTTGGGGGGGGGGGAATACTTTACTTACAACATAGACTAAACATGCATAAGCAAAATATAAAAAATTCTGTATTAATGCTATTTTTTTAAAAACGCAAAAATGTCGCTTTTCTCGATAAAACTTTTTTGGGCATTATACAGAATTTTTTTTATTTTTGGTATATTGAAAGATTTTTGCAGTATACTATGCAGTGTGCGAAATTTCAACACAGGTCACCGCACGAAATAATGAGATATAGCGCACTGTTTTTCAAAAATTGGCATTTCTAATGACGTCACCAATTGACACGCAACGCGTAAACGCGTTATAAACACGTACAACGGCGCGAGATGGCGTGAGCAAGGCGCTACGTCACGTGGGGTTAATCATAGAGATTATAAATAACACTAGAGGAGGCATTGTAATCTTAATTCAGTAAAAAAAAGGGAACGCAGCTATTGGGGGGCAAATTCAAGTCCCGGATGTGTATTCGTGTTCTCATTGGTGACGAGTTTCAAATCAGCCAATGAGAGCACGATTTTATATCCGGGACTTGAATTTGCCCCCCATTAGCTGCGTTCCCAATTTTTAAACTCGATGCCTTCTCTAGTGTTATTTATAATCTCTATGGGGTTAATGGTCATACAGCATAACGTTTTGCTTTCGCGAGTTATTTTGAACCAAATTTAACTCCAAATGTGGAGTAACATTGGGTTCAAAATAACTCCACTGGCGTTAAATTAACTACACGAAGATAAAAGAGCGTCAGTCCTTACGTTTCAATCCGTGAGCTATAAATGAATGAATTATTCATCTAAAGATCGGACCGCTAAAAGTGTTTTTTTAACATATTTTGAACCTCCAACATTATTACAACATTAAGACTTGTAAATGTATATTAAATTCAATTTTTCCTTGCTCCTGGGAACATTAAGTGATTATTGCTAATTCGTCGCCGAATTCGGACACATAAACTCACACAAGATACCATCATAATACATAAACGTACACAAGATACCATTATATCTGAGGCGCACTACAAAAGTTACAGCCGTATAACCGCGCCTAAACATTTCTGGTATTCCTACTACTTACAGTACCTTCTGCGTTTCATCAGTGCTATCTGGCGTAGCACATGTTTGTGGTTTTGGCCTTTTTCTGGAAAATGCAGACACATAAGCAACTTTCGTTAAGGATCCCCCTAGAAAAAAATATTTAACGTGAATATACATGCATGGTGTCCGGAAAAAATGCTCAGAAATGCACTACTATGCAGTATGAGCAATGACTATACGTTAGCTCTAATAGAAGTTTCAAATTTTTATATATCATTTTATTTATAAACATTTTTACAATATCATTTTAATATTATTAATATTTGCATTTTGACTGATCAAAATAACAAAGAAGAATCACTTAAGGTGGCAACACCAATATTCCAACCGGCCTAAATATGCAAATTAGGTGAAAATACTCTGGAGTCTTTGTAGGAACAGAATTGTTATAGATTCAATACTCTTCGAGTGCATTCTGTCATAGATTCAATACTCTTCGAGTGCCTTTGACCAATATTTTTCACTCCGATTCGTACGGCTTTTGCCAATCTTATCTGTCACAAAACAATAAATTCAGGGAAATTTTAATTTCATTTTTACATGGATTTTTAGTAATTCTCGATATAAAGGCCCGTTTACACTAAATGTCTTGCAATTTTTGCTATGATTTCTGGTGCGATTTTCTTCATTCTGATGCATGTGGACGCGAGTAGACGAATTGTGAATGTTCTGAGTACATTTATCATCGTCAGTCGTCATCTGAACATTCCTACTCATGCATCCACTTGTTTACATCTATCAGCAAAAAAAATCGCACTTAATTAACTTAAAACGCAGCGAAAATTGCAAGTGTAAACGGGCCTTAAGCCACCTATGGTATACGTTTTATATATAGCGGGTTTTTATTAAAAATTCCATTCTAAGGTATCGAAATATTTTTGACCTACTGTTTTATACTAATATTCTAGCACTGCAGGGAACAACGAACAATACGTTGTCTCGAACTCGAATCTTCGGACATGTATAGACGCCGATGCAATTTGTCGTTCTGTCGATGCCACCAGTGACATATGAACAGCATGTGACGCAGTGAGATGGTGGCATCAACCGTAAATTGGTGGCAACGGCCGTTTACGAAACGGTGAATTGCACCGCTGATCTAACAAATCAACTTTCGTATCAACGGCGATTGAGAGAGTTGTATCCAAGCTCTGGCAGAGCTCAGCCGCTCAGTCTTAAGGTGGCTCCATACACTTTCATCATCCGGGGACTGGTACCTAATCTTGAGTTTCGCGCGAAAATATTACAAATATATGCAAAAATAAATACAACTTTTTCAGTCTAAAATTCGAACCACAAGTCATGGTTATTTTGATGTTTCGAGTCTTTTTTGTTCTCATTTGTCCTCAAAGAACAAACTTCGTCCTGATTTAGCCCTGAACATTGAATAGCTAGTCTTTTTAGAAGACATTTTAAGGTAAAAAATGCAATGTTTAACGTTCAAACTCTTGTGAAAACCGGCGATCGGCCCGACCGGCGAAACGTTTTTTACTCCAATATTTGACGTTTTATATGTTCATATCCAGAGTTTTTTGTACTTACAACTGGTAAATGTATTCAAAGTGTCACTAACAGCAAAGGAATTCAGTCAAACAGCATCATACGCCGGCTCAAACTGTTTTAAATTGTCAACAACAACATGAAAACACACAAGTTACGACTGTAAACGAATATAAAACTATGTAGAGAAGCCAAAAAGTTCATACATGTCACACATATCTTATACCAAACGACACAATCACCTGTTTTCTTGGCGTTATCCCGAGTTAGCATGCAAAACTAAAGATATTTGCATTTCTAAGCAAGAAAACACAACATATATTTGATATTTCGACGAGACTAAAAACCTTTTTGTGTGTGTTTTTCTGGAGATGCGCCTGTGAAAACATGTACGCGCATGTCAATTCATTGATCTTGCAGAGCTCGAAAAACTTTCGGCCGAGCGAGTGAGATACCACAATAAAACGGTGTAATTCAAAATTTTGCACGGTGACATGTGATGAAATTTTGCACAACGATAACTTCTTTTAAAACAAATAGAATATCAAAATTTTAAAAAAATCTGTAGATTGGAAAACTTTAAATCCGCAATTTTTTATTCTGGCTATTCTAATCTACAGAATTTTTTTATTTTCAGGGATAAGATTCCTTATTATAAGTGAAAGCTATACAGCAGTTAAAAATTGGGGGTCACCGGCAATATTCGGAAAATAAAGAATAAAAACCTGCTTAAAATAGCAAAAAATACCATATTTGGCGAGGCTACTGTTACTATGGAAACAATATTATGTTCAAGAATATTGCAAATTTTTTCTACCAAATACTTAATTTATACTTGGGAATGCTTAAAATTAATAGATGGAGTAATTTAAGCCCCGCGGGTCAAATGGGAATGAGAGTTGCCGAGAGTTGCATGGTAATCACGAATTGTTACAGAGGACATTTTTTCAAGTTCTAGATTGACAAAATAAAGGTTTGATAAATTTCAATTAAAACAAAATACATGATAATAGTTTTGTTTGTGGAAACACCACGTAAATTTATTACTGCAAAGCTTTCAATCCGTAAGCCTGGATCTTCATCAGTGCTAATAATATGTAATAATATATAATATCAATAATAAATAATATCAAATATATATATATATATAATAATATAATATAATATATATATATAATATATATATATATATAATATATATATAATAATATATAATATCACATATTATTAGCACTGATGAAGATCCGGGCTTACTGATCGAAAGTTTTGCAGTAATAAATTTACGTGGTGTTTCCACAAACAAAACTATTATATTTTTCGTCATGCAAACATACAAAGAACTTAAAATACATGATAGTGTTGGGAATGATCAGTGGCGGACACTAGGGGGCGAGCCCCCCCCTCCCCCCCAAAAATTTTTTTGAAAGACTGCAAAAATCTTGTACCAAATAACATAAACCACCCCCATATAGCGTAATTGTCATATTAAATAATGACTATTTGATAAAACGAAAGCTAAAAAGGTAAGCAATATACCAAACAATCTTTAACCTTCGATCAACCTTTAATAATAGATATCTTCTATAAGCTGTTTATCTTAAAATAATATGATAATATATGTTTATGTACTGTACATGTCACAACATACATGAAACATATATTATTATATTCTTTAAACAATATAATAATAAATGTTTCTGTATTGTACATGCCACAACATACATGTACATGTACATGTACATGTATATATAGTACGGTACAGTACGATACGGTGCAGTACGGTACAGTACAGTACAGTAACATATATATTATTATAGATTTAAATAATATAATAATATATGTTTCTGTACTGTACATGTCACAACATACAGAAACACATATTATTATATTCTTTAAACAATATAATAATATATGTTTCTATATTGTACATGTCACAACATACGCATTTTATAAAAAAATTCTTTTTGACTTTTTTTGTGCTGTGTAGGATTCCTTACAGGCAAGTCTATTGACAAAAGGGCAGATTACGCGGCAATTTAACAGTTCAGAATTAATAGTTATACATGTACTTCATATTATAACGATTTTTAGAATTAAAGATAGAATTAGATAGAATTTAGAGCACTTGAAGTCACTTACTTAAAACCATGAAAGTCACTTACTTACTGGTATATATAGGTGTCATGTGCGGAACCTATTAACAGGGGCGGCGGGCGGCGCTGGAGGGGGAGTGGGGGTGTTGTGTTTATACTATAATCTCGAATCGAACACACGCACGCACTTAGTGTGCTATAAAAATGTAATGTGACCAGGTGATCTGACGGTGAGCAAAAGGACTGGGACTAGCAACAGGATAGAAATCCATTTTCGTACCTTTAATCACTTGTCACGCCCTGATTCTGTTGTGAAACTGTTTGAAACTTTGTGTCTGTGTCGTGCACAGAGAAATGAATGTCTGGCACAAATTTGAAATAGAAATCTAATACCGTTGATGAGATATTGAATAATTTTAAATCAGAAATGGATTTCTATTTTACAACTAGTGCCAGGCCTTTTCCGAGTTCCGAGATCACCTGACCAAGAGATAACTATTATATACAAGCATAAGGTAATTAGTTTAAGGAGGCTCCCTACAGTAGCGTGCGGGATGTTCGCGGGACCAGTACGTGAACTATCCCACGCAACCGCATGAATCGCATGATCAAAACAAAACAAAAATTGACCGGGCTTTTTTTTAAAAAAAAGCTATTTCTGAAAGGTTTCTAACGGAAAAAAGCGTTGAATAATACTTCATTTTGAGTGCCAAATCACTTGCGAGTCTATACAGCAATTCTACATATGAAACGAATATCACTAGACCAAAAAATGGCTACGAAACAATGTTTTTTATTTTTTTTTAAATATACACTGTCAACTGTAAAACATTTGCAAAATTGCATATAAACGTTTAAAAAGTTGTTTACTTCCCAAGAAAACTTTCACGTTTTTAGTCGTGTTTCTACAAGATTAAAGTGATTATATGTAAACAGAAAAATATTTCAGTTTCATTGCCTAATTGTTCATTTTTAGCAAAAAGTACAAAACCAAACATGAAACAAACGTTCACCTGTTAATAATAGGCTGTTTATACAGCTCATAGATTGAGTAAACGGCAGGTGAACGGCAGGTTATCCATATATATATATATATATATATATATATATATATATATATATATATATATATATATATATATATATATATATATATATATATATATATATATTTATATATATTTCATATTTTTATGTCTTTGTTTGACATTCGACAAAGCAGCAACACTCGCTAAGTACGAGGCGCGCATAAGTCTATACAATGAACTATAGAGTGCTCAAGAACGTGGTACCACGAACGAGCATAATATATGATTTCGATATTTTTTGTTGAGTTTTTTTCTCAAGGTCTTGCTTACTTTATTTCCTTCCACTCGTGAGCTCACTACGTGATCATAGTGATCAAACGTAGTGTCCAGGCCTTGTGACCCTGGATGGACACTTAAATGGAAGGAAACCACACTGTAAACGTAAAGAATTTTATTCATTATTGAT